CTAGAAATGGATGCAGAACCAAAAGATCATTTAATCTTAGGTAGACCCTTCTTAGCCACTGCTGGAGCTATCATTGATGTTAAGAATGGGAAGATTGATCTTAATCTGGGAAATGATTTCAAAATGAAGTTTGACATCAATGACGCCACGAGAAAGCCAACAATTGAAGGACAAACCTTCTTAGTAAAGATAATGGATCGCCTAGCTGATGAACTGCTAGAGGAGGTTGCTGAGGAAGATCACCAACACACTTCTTTGACTAAGAATGGTGAAGCAGGATATCTTCTCACTGAAACCTTGAGTTGTGGTAAGTCATTAGATTCACACAAGGAAGTAGCAGGGTCAGAGGTCTTAAAAGACTTGTTTGAGTCAGAAATAGTGGGTAAGGCAGCATATGAAGCAAGCTCAACACATGTTCAACCAACTGACTCGAGTATACACTTGAGCAAGCCTTCAACTAGTCTGGAGAACTCTAGCTCGATCAAACATCTTGACAAGCTGCTAGAGTCTAGCAACTCCGCGCTAGATAGCTGGTTAGAGCTCAAGGAGAGGTCCAAATGGCAGGACAAAACCATAAGGGAGTTAGTAGATATTGTGAAAGAGCTGAAGGATCAAATCAAGGAGCTCCATGGAAAAGCCAACCAAGTGCCACTCAACATCAAGGACGTCCAAAATGATGGAGCCACTACTCTGGTCAGCAAAGAAGGATGTGAATTTACATTGAAATGGTCTAGAGAAGAAGACCATCCTCCTGATCAAAAAGAAGGTTTCTTCAAGGACATGGCCACTAAGTACCCAATTGCAGACCTATCAGAAGAGCATGCTGAGTTTGACGATGCATCTATTGAAGAAGGAGAGGAGACCTCGTTTCCTCTCTGCAAACCACCCTAAGCCTAATGAGGAGTCAAGCTTAGAGACTTAAAACAAGCTCACTTGGGAGGAAGTCCCATGTCTATCGACGTACATATTTTTATTTCCTTGTTATTTTTAATGCGTTTGGTAGTGTTTTGGTTTTCAGGAAATGAGTATCAAGTGCAAAGTAAGTGGTCTTGATTTTTGAATTTTGGAGGTTATACTCGATGAAGCATATGGGATGACAGTGGTACAGTGCAATCGAGTATGGAGTGGGGTTTTGGTTCCAAGATTTTTTGGATTTTCAACATGTCACTCTATCACAAGAGGCCACATGGTAATGAAGAGTTGCAGTCGAGTATGATGTGATTTTTGATCTAAATTTTTCAAAATCAACATCATACTCGACCAACACAAGCCACATGGTAATGAGATGACATGGTCGAGCATCAAGAAGGAGAAGGAGCAGAAGCACAAAAGCAAGACTCCTTAATGGCCTGGCAGTTTACACAAAGCAGGCATTGATGAGCACATCAACTCCTTCTTCAGTTGAGGTAACAACTCCATTTCTCACTGATTATACCATTTCATGTCTTCTTTCTTTATTTATTTGTCTTGAGTACTCTCTTCCAAGTATGGTCACACAGAGGACTGTGTGATTTAAGTTTGGGGGAGGGCTCAGGAAGTATCTGATGTGTTTGCTTTGTTTTTGTTTTCAAATTTTTCTTGCATTGTACATATTGTCTGCATTCATCTATGTTATTGGAAAAACCCTAAAAATTTGAAAAATTTCTGAAAATGATTTCACAAAAATAGAGTGTTCATGTAGTTGCATTTTCATTTTAAGATTGAGTCTAGAAGGTTTCATATAGGATTGTTGCATTTGCATAGGGGATGATGATGAGATAACCTTGTAAGCATGCTCATTTACTGAATGAATTCAATGCACTCGTTATTAGTTGTTTAATGCTTATGATAGAACTTGAATTAAGACTGCACCATATTTGGAATTCACAACTTGACTCTCTTGTTTTAATTGAAGCATGCTTGATGTGATTCTTTTCCCTATCTATTAGAACCTGAACTTGACTTGTAATTATCATGTCTTTGCATTGTTGTTGAACTTGTGGCTACCAATATACATACTTGGATTTTCTTTCACCTTCCACCACTCTTGCTAATCTAAGTAGCTGATTCCCATTATTGGAACAGTTTTCCCCACCCTGAACCTAACTTTTCTTTCAAGCCCTGAATAAATTTGTGTGTGTGTGAAGCCTATTTCCGGATTGAGCTTGGTAGAAAGTGTTAGGTATGAACCGACAAGAATAGTATCCCTTGTAGTTCTAGTCCACGATTTTTGGGCTAGATAGGACTAGGTGGGAGTTTTACTTTGGGTTTGGGAATGTGTTTGCAAAGAAAATGAGAAAGAAAGACAAGTGTTATTGTTCTTAGGAGATGGAAGTGAAACAGAAAAGAATATCATGTTAGTCTAGTAAAGGATTTGGGAAGCTTGAAAAATAAAAGAAGTTAAGCTCTATGCAAAGTAAAAAGAAAGGCAAAAGCCTAGAAATGTCTTAAGTCATGAGATGAGAAGAAGAGCCTTAGTTGTAAAAGAAAGTCCCAATCCGCTAGAAAGTCTAAAAGAAAACCTCTCCTTAGAACAAAACCAAAAAGAAAGAATAGGTTGATCCAAGAGTTTATTGAAACATGCCTTGAGTGCAAAGGGTAGAAGCAGGATCATTTCTGGGGTTTAGAGATAGGACCATCTATGGAATTTGATATGCTTATGGTTATTTGGGTAGATGGGGTCTGTTCTTGTATGCATAGGTTGGTTCTAACCTTTAGCATTCTACTAAAGCTCTGTCCATTCATGAGAGTTCCCTGTTACTGTGAAAAAGTCTGAACCATTTACAGAGGAACCATCTTTGTTTCTCAGCCCTGTCCTTTAAACCAAATGAGTTCCTCAACAATGTTTTGCTTGATTCATGGTTTGAGCTTAATCAATGTTAAAGGGAATTGATGATCTGAAGGTGTGTGTAGATTGGAACAAATGTTAGGTTGTCTTGTGATGAATATGGCTATAGTTTTTAAGTAGAGTTTGGTCTCTATGCATTCCACAATTACTAACTTGGACATTAAGTTCATTTGCTTTGTCTGCATGCTTTTGTTCTGAGTCCCCGCTTTCAAACCTCTCCTCCAGCTTGTTCTTAATTGTTTGCTTGAGGGCAAGCAAAGACTAAGTTTGGGGGAGTTGATATGTCTATATTTTACTTGTTTTGAGCATTCATTTGTCGTCAATTTAGCATCATTTCACCACTGTTTCATACCATTTCTTATCACTTGTCGTCACTTTACATGTTTAGGATAGCTTTGCATGCATGTTGCACATTTCTTTGGTTTTCAGGTGATTTGGGGCTACTAATGAGCACTCAGTCGAGCACTCAGTCGAACCTCCAGCAAAACCACTCGACCACATCTTCTCATCACCAAGTGGAAGACGCAGTCGAGCATCACCAGCAGCAGCAGATTCTCCTAGGAACCACTCGATCACCACCTCCTTGGAGTACTCGATTACATCTTCAATGCCATAACTCGACTGCATCTTCACGCTGCCACTCGATCTCGTGGTCGAGCACACGCTCCTTCAATAACTCGACTGACCACTCGATTGCATCACCAAGAACCATTCGATTGCATCACCAGTCACCTACTCGACTGACCACTCGATCCCCGCTCCTTACAGCCACCTGATCACAAGCTTCAGAGTCTTCTCAGATCCGCACTCAACCAGACATTGAGCATAAGGAAGAGAAGAGGATGAAGCATTACATCATGACTGGAGCAAGAATCCACCAAGACGTCAACTTTACTCGATTGCTCCTACTCGATCACAAGGGTCGAGTACTCTCTTAAACCGCTTTAAAACCTTGTCGTTTTGTGTTTTAGTGCTTCCTAGTATTTACTATAAATAGGTTGTTTCTCTTAATTTTTAGAACTAAGTTTTTATTTCTGGGGAACAATTAGTGCTTTCTTCATATTTGTAATCCAGATTTCTCTTAATCTATTGAGTATTTGCTTTTGATTTCTTTTACAAAGTTGTTCATCTTGTTGAGATCTTGCTAATATGAAGTTTTTATGTATATATGGGTTTGTGTTCTTGGTTATGAATTTTGAGTAGTGATTAGGGTTCTTGAGGATGGGTTAGAGTAGCTTAGAATCCTTAATCTGATAGGTGGTTGAGTTTGATTGGTAGATCCCTTCTAGATTAGTTGTTTTTAATGCTGATTGCTTTCTGATCAACTGGAATCTGAGCCCAGACATATCCGCACCCAAAAGGTGTTCGATAAAATGTCTGAACCACTAATTCCAGAGATTCGTGGCTCTGTACCAAGGTATTGGTTACAGGGAGCGTCTTGGCTTAGACTTGTTGTTTCGTAATGCCTGTTAAGTCAGCTCTCGTCAATGGTGATTGAGTCTGGGACTAGCTTTGCTTGAGGATCTCTGTTGCGGTAGCACTTTGATTTGGTTATTGAACTTGTTGTCTAGGGATAATTTGTTGAGCATGTTAACCACCTGTTAGATTAAGAAGACTTCACTACTCGATTACCCCATCCTCGGGAATTTCTCTTCCAATTGATTTCTTTGTTTACATCGCTTTTGATTGCTTGATCTTGTCACTTGTTGTTTAGTTTTATCATTCTAGCCTGTTTCATTTGAAGTACTCGACCACACCCAGTAGTTTGGTAACAAACTGTGCAGTCGAGTACCCAGTTTACAGTTTCTGTTAAGTTACTCGACCTGATACTCGACCACACCCAGTGCTTGGCTTCAAGCTGTGTTGGTCGAGTATATTGCCTGTTATTGTTAGAATTTCTGTTTCTGCATGATCACTAGAACTGTTAACAACATCAAACCTGTTATTGCTTGGCTTGACTCTGTGATAGCTGATTGCATCTTGATTGCTAGCATCACACCCATTTGGATTGACACCTTAAATACTACAATGACATGATAGTACTTTAAGGAATTGAGAAC